GAGTAGTCTGCTCTTTCTTAGAAGCACCTTATCTAATTCTCCATTTCTGCTGGGTCTACACTAGCACATAAATGCTTCCAGTATTAACACCTTTGAAACACTGAACAGTCCTTGAACTCTATCATTCCTTAGTCACTCCAGAAAGTTCTTAGATTTTTTTTTTCAACAAAACCTTACACGTGGTTTGCTGAATTTAAATTTTATCTGCAGGGGTAGAACTATAGACCAGTAATGGAAGTGGAGCCTGCCATGTGTTAAGCACCACAAACATACATATGTATCTGCATCGGTTTATAAGTGTTGAAAACCATGGATCTGGAGGTGCGAGTATAAAAAATATTTGTGTGTATTTAAAAGAGAGAGATGGCCGGGAGGTGGCAGCATGAATCTTTATTCCCAGCACTCAGGAGGCAGAGGCAGGTGGATCCTAGAGGTCCAGGCCAGCCTGGTCTACAGATTGAGTTCCAGGGCTACTCAGAGAAGTCCTGTCTCGAAAACAAAACAGAGAGAAAAAGATGGATTAGTTAAAAGTCTCCTAAAGAAATGCTGGGTGCAGTAAGTGGCACCCACATGGGAGTGGTAACTGTCTCATTGAACTCAACAGGAGAGAAGCCAAACATGGTACTAGATACCTAGCCAACTACCCAGGAGTAGTGAGATCATGGATCTTAGAAAAGAATCTACTACTGCTACTTTGATAGACCAGCATAATCCCTTACTACACTCTAAATCCTATCCTCATACCCTTATCAAAGAAGCTTCTCTATAGCAAATGCAAACCATTACAGAAAACCATGACTGGATACAATGCAGAGATCAAGGGATTATGGGAATCCTGGCCCCAGCAGATAAATCCTCAACATAGCTCCTGTATCTATGGCTCGTGAACACCATGGAAGACAGGAGGTTCAACAGCAAGAGCCAGAATACCAAGAAATCTGCTGTGGAACTGTCTCTCCTAGAAATGGCTGCACACCCAAGACCTAAACAATGGTACTATCAAATACACATGCTACTGTGTTTTTGTTCTGTTGTTTTGTTTTGAGACAGGGTCTCACTATGTAGCTCTGACTATCCTGGAAGTCACTCTGTAGGCCAGGCTGGCTTCAAACTCACAGAGATCCACCTGCCTCTGCCTCCCAAGTGCTAGAATTCAAGGTGTGTACCACTACAACTGGTTGACCTGTTAATGTGGAAAGGGGAAAACCTCACCAGGTCACACCCCTAGACAAAGAACTACAGGCAATTAATGACTGCTGAGAGGACAAGTTAACATCTCCCCAGTATAAGCCTCCTAATTGGTTAACTACTGCAAAGTGGTCAGTCCTAAAACCACAAACGGACAAACAAACAAACAAACAAAAAGATACTTGGGGAGCTGTTTATATGTATTTATTATTTGTTTGTGTGTGTTTGTGCACGCATACACATATTATCAAAGAAAGAGACCATCAATTTGAGAAAGGGGAGATGCAATTATATTTTAGCTTGAAAAGTATTAAAAATAAAATAAAATCTAGGAGCTGGAGTGTGGCTGGTGGAAGAGCACTTTTCTTAGCCTGGGTTCCATCTCCAGCATCACACACACACACACACACACACACACACACACCCCACACCAACCACAGATCCAGAATAATTTTCAATTTATCAACTTCAAAAGAAAAAGGAGAAAAAGAGATGAATAAATGATGACAAGATCAAAATTCACTAACACGCACTTTCTAGGACTGAGAATGCAGAGTTCTTTACATCTATTCGGCTGCCTCCTCACTTTTGTGTAATTCACTAAGCTATCACCTTTTTGTGTGTGTAAAGTTGAACGCTGGTCTATTGATGTCATGTGTTAAAAGTTTTGTGGGACTTTGTTTTGCATGCTTGTTTTTGGTTTTTGGTTTGGTTTGGTTTGGCTTGGATTTTTGGAGACAGGATGTCTCTGTGTAACAGCTCTTACTATCCTGAAACTCACTCTGTAGACCAAGCTAGCCTTGAACTCATAAACCAGGCTGGCCTCACTCACAGAGGTCCACCACCTGCCTCTGCCTCCTGTGCTGGAATTAAACACCATGCACCCAGATCACATTAATAATTAAATGTAAAGTTAAAAAGTTGATCAAGGGGGATGAAGAAACAGCTCAGTAGTAAGGAGGGCTGACTGCTCTTGCAGAGGACCAAAGTCTGGTTCCCAGCACCCTCATGGTTGCTTACAACCATCCCTAACCCCAGTTCCAAGAGACCTAACAACCTCTTCTGGCCTCCAAGAGCACTGCCACAGGTACATGCAAGCAAAACACTCATACATACTTTTCTAAAAGGCTAGTCAAACATGGCAGGCGAGGGAGGTGAACACCTTTAATCCAGGTCTCAGGAGGCACAGGCAAGCAGTCTGAGGCCAACCTGGTCTACAGAGAGAGTTCCAAGGCAGTCAGTCCGGGCTACATAGAAAAACTCTGTCTTGAAACAACAAAAAGGCAAACATACTACAAATTTTAGTTACAAGACATAAGCAATCAAGTTAACACTGGACTGGAAACTTCATGTCAGTGACTGGCTTTCAAAGCATTAGATTTGAGGCCTGCTCCACAGGGAAGAATTCTTGTCATTTACTGTAAACATGGTGAAAAGTCTCTGGCTAGAGATCAGAGGCCCTAGTGAGTAAATTTCACGTATTTTACTAAATGGACATATTGCATCCATCAAATTGCCTTCTAAATATTTGTATTTATGCCCATAGACTAGTACTGCTATCAGCGTTGGTCAGAATAACTTCCTTTTGCAGTAGTTAACGATTACCATAGAGATTCACAACTGGTTCAAGTGCTCAGAATAAGTAACTGTTGAATGCTAAGTCATAAATGGGACATCTTTAACATACATACTCTCTTACCCCCCAAAAGCCCCCCACACCAATGTTCAGAAATCATCAAAAAAGAGATATGGGGGTGTCAGAGAGACGGCTCAGTGATTAAGAGCATTTGCTGTTCTTGCAGAAGATCTGGGTTCAGTTGCCAGCACCCACAAAGTGGCTCACAACTGTAATTTCTGTCTTGGGATCAGACACCTTCTTCTGACCTCCACCAGCAGCAGGCATACATATGGTTCACATACATATATTCTGGCAAAACACTGTTGAGGAACTCACTAGTTAAATCAGGCTGTCCTCAAACTCACAGAGACCGGACTGTCTCTGTCTCCTGAGTGCTGGGATTAGGGCATGCACTACCACCTCCCAGTTTAAAAACAAAACAAAAAAAAAAAAAAAAAAAAAAAACTTTTTTAAAATTCAAAATTTTAAAAGTAATAGAAGAAGAGTAAGAGAGTAATAGAGGAAGATAGCTCTATATGCCTCTAGCTTCCACATGTGCACACTCAGGTACATGCATCTGTGTACACAATACCACAAAGATAGACAAAACACATCTCATTAAGTTCAAACAATGAACTGAATACACATTAGTTCAGTAACATTTAACACAACTATTAGGAAGTGGTTCTGAGAGTAAGACTCACTTCAAAGGAATACTGCGGGCTTGTGAAAGCTATCATAACCACTAGAAAAACTGAACACACCTATAAATTAGCACTGTCTATTAGTTGACACTAGAAGAGACTAAAGATAATAAGCACATTGTATTATTGCTACTTCAGAACATCTCGCCCATCAGGTTTAGGCTAAGCTGTTCAATAAAAATACGGGAGCCACATAATTTAAAGTTTCCAGTAGCCATGTTGTTTGGCAGCAGAATCAGGTGAAATTAATTATGTTATTTAACAACCTAGCCCACATAGTATCGTCTCAACATCCGAAGTATTTTTTTTTCATGCTAAATCTCAAAACCTGGTTGTACATTTCACACTAGCATGTTGCAAGTGTGTCATATTTCAGAAGTTTAGCAGACACAAGCTGCTGGCTACAAAGGATACTATTTAATGCTGAGCTAAGGGAACATGGCAAGAGAAAGGGTTTATGAATCACAACATCAGAGTCCCCGAGGCTGGAACATTCCTATTTTTAAACCTTTTTGCTGCCTTTTTACTTATTTATTGGGGGTGGGTGCGTGCTATGGTATGCCAATGGAGACTGGAGGACAACCTAGGGGAAGCGAGTGACTTCTCTCCCTCCACCATGTGGGCCTTAGAGGTTGGGCTCAGGTCATCAGATTTGGCACATGATACCTTTACCAGCTGAGCCACCTCTTCCGATACTACCCCACTCTAGCTCTAAAGTGAATGAGTTAAACTTTAAAACTAGCCAACAGTAACTGGCTATTTCATCAGATTTCCAGGAACCTTCTGGCAAACCCTTGTTTGGAGTCAAAGCCCTATGCAGTATTGGTTTTGTAACAACTGTTTTCAGCACATTTTAACTAGTCTTGCTGTCATTGTGAGATTAGCCATAACTTCCTTCTTCCCTACCCTAACCAGTTTCTCACATACTCAGCCCCCTTAATTCACTAACATTATCCAAAAAGAAGCTGCTTCTGGGAGCTGGAGAGATGCTCAGGGTTAATAGGAGCACTTGCTGCTCTTGCAGGGGACCTAGCTAAGGTTCCCAGCACCTACACAGAGACTTACAAACATCTGGAATTCCAGTTAGAGGAGACACCATGCATTCTTCTGACTTCTAGGGATACCAGGTATACATGTGGTACACATACATACATGTAGGCAAACATACGCATACACACACAAAATAATCATCTTTAAAAGGGGGGAAAAAAGGAAGCAACTTCCAGTCACTCCTACAACCTGAACAGACTTTGGGTTATCCAGGCACTAGCAACAGGAAGCCAGAAAATGATCTCAGAAAGTGGGGAGAGGGAACCCACAGCATGGTGTAAACTTACAGAAGTTACAGGAAATAAACTGTACTTGCACAGTATTCCAAACGAGCCTTCAGTTAGTGTTATAATGGTATTTCAAAAGCAAAGGGACCAGATACTCTTCCACCACCTATATGGTGGCTCAACTAAACCACATAAATAGAGTAAGGGCGGCCTATGGTGGTGCGAACCTTTAATCTCAACATTCATGAGGCAGAGGTAGGTGAGTCTCTGTATTCAAAGCTGAGAACCATAGCAACATAGAAAAATCCTATCTTGAAACTCCAAAAAATAAAAAAGAAAGAAAAATATGGGCCAAAGTAACAAAGAAAAGCACCCAATTCATTTTTCTGCTCCTACCCCACCTGGACCCCTGGAGAATCACAATAGAAGCATCTTGCTTTGGTTGGCCCAAGCTGGGGGAAGTGGGGAGGGGATACCTGCCATTCCCTGGGGACTGAACTCAGGGCCTTATATGTGTCAGTTACACTCTGCCACCGAGCTTTATTCCTAGCCCTATCATTTTATTTTTCTGAACTCACTAGCTAAATTTCTATTTGTCAGAGATTAACACATAAAAGGAACAAATTCTGCATGTAGGAAAGGAGACACCTGGACTGGGAGTGCTTACATTTCTACAGTATGTGTTCAAGTGGTAGTAAGGACATTGATATTCAGGTTTAAAATAAACTATAACAGGATACTCACTAGTTTTCAACATATACTTTTTACCAAATGAAATCATAGTCACCATGCATTTGCTGCTGCTCAAAGTGTAAATTTCCTGAGGAATGGAAATTACAACTCAGTGCTTCTCCACCCTTTATTTAGTCAGTTCTACTTGTCCAGAAACCTATCCCTTTCTATTGTTTTTGCTTTTATTCATTGCATGCAGGTTTGAGTGTGTGTTTATTGACCTGACTGCACATGGGGAACCAGAGACCAAGTACCTTCCTCTATTGCTCTCCATCTTGTTTCTTCTTCTTTTCCTTCTTCTTCTCCCTCTTCTTCTCCTTTTGGGGAGGGGGTTGTTTTTTGTTTCTGATTTTTGTGACAGGATTTTTTCTATATAACAGCCCTAACTGTCCTGAAACTCACTCTGTAGACCAGGCTAGCCTCAAACTCAGAGATCCACCTACCTCTACCTTTCCAGAATTAGGAATAAAGGTGTGCGCCACCATCTTACTTTCTAAAGCAGGGACACTTGTGAACCGGCAGGTCACCCATTTTGCTTGATTGGTGGAGCTCCAAGTCCCTGAGATCAGCCTGTCTCCATCCCCAAGTGCCACTGTGGTCACATTCATGCTCTGCCATACCTGGCTTTTCTGTGGGTATGGGGATTTGAACTTAGTTCCTCATGTTTACACAGCACTTTATCCTGGAAATCACTCTGTAGACCAGACTGGCCTTGAACTTGGAGATCTGCCTGCCTCTGCCTTCCCAGTGCTAGGATTAAAGGTGTGTGCCACCAATACCCGGCTCATTTTACTTTTTAGGAGCAAATCCGGTGTCAGTGAGACATGTTAATCTCAAAAGATGGGAGGAGAAAGGCCAACCCAAATAATCATGGCCAAATTAATTACAGCAAGCTTTTTTGTGTATATGGGCTGCTTCTCCCTGAGGTGGGGTTCAGGAGGACAGTATTAGATTCCAGGAAGACAAGGCTTTTATAGCTCAGGGGTACATGGTTTCCAAATAGGGTATTTGGTGAGCAAAATAGTTGAGATTACGGAGCAGAATATAAGCATACCAAGTTAATCCTAACGACCTCCTAAAACTAACACATGACTGCAGGGCAGGCATAACAAGGTAGTCATAACCACAGGTTATAACAAGGTGGTTATAATAACCTTTTTTTTAAAAGGTAGTGTTTCAAATGGTTAAAAACAACTTTTTTGAAACAAAGGCATGACTGCCATTCCTTGAACAGGCAGTACAGAACCATTTGTAGTTAAGGTTACAGGTGGGGCATAGCCCAATCCTTGAGAAACAGAGGTTTAATCATAAACAGGGATGAATCTAGTTTGTCCTTATATAAGGTGGATTTTAAGCCTAAAATGGAGCAGTTTCTTCAATGGCTCAGCAGGTAAAACTGCTTGCCTTGAATGTCTGTGCCCTGAGTTTGTTCCCAGGGACCCACGTATGAGTGGAAGGAAAGAACCAACTCCACAAAGTACACCTGTACTCCTTTCCCCAACAGCTTAAACTAAATAAATATAAATCAGTAAAAGCTGGGCAGCGGTGGCACACTCCTTTTATCCAAGCACTTGGGAGAGAGAGGCAGATGAATCTGAATTTGAAGTCAGCCTAGTCTACAGAGCAAGTTCCAGGACAGCCAGAGCTACACAGAGAAACCTTGTCTCAGAAAATAAACAACAAAAAGTAAAATGAGACAGTTGTGCTAACATAAACCTTAAGCCCAAGAGTAGAAGCAGGCAGATCTCTGAGCCAGGTCAGCCTGGTCTATCTTATAGCTGTGGTTCTCAGCTCTCCTAAGGTTGCAGACTTTTAATACAGTTCCTAGTGTTGTGACTCCCAACCATAAAATTATTTTCATTGCTACTTCATAACTGTAATTTTGCTACTGTTATGAATCATAATGTAAATATCTATGTTTTCCAATGATCTGTGAGAGGGCTGTTCAACCCCCAGGTTGAGAATCATAGAGTTCAAATCAGCTAATAAAACTGCACACTGAGACCCTGCCTCAAAAGAATCAAAAAAAAAGCTGTGAGTAATCAATTTTAATCTCCTTTCATCCCAGCAGAGACAACAGTTCTCTGAAAGTTCCAGGACAATCTAGTCTACAAAGCAAGTTCTAAGCCAGCCAGCACTTCATGCCTCAAAACAAAGAATTTTTTTAAGTAAACTAAGTAAGAAAATTACTCTTTCAGTTCAGTGGACTTCAAATCACCAAGAGGTATTTAAGTGCCCATCTACATTTAAAACAGATACTACTCCACACAAGGTGCTTGCACAAATATTTTGTGCACATCCATACTTGTACACAAAGATCTAAAATATACCAATATATTAGTAAGAATCTTCTCTAGTCATTATACTTCTTAGGATGCTCATGTGTGATTGTTAAAATTAGAAGAAAAAACAGGCAAGAAGTAAATTGGCCAGTGCCAATCAACTAAGATTATATTGGATTGACACTCCATAATCACTAAGTAAAAAGCATTTAGAGACCTTGAAGACAAAGCCTTGCCTAACTTTTGACATACTCATCTATGTTCAGGCCTGCAATACAATGTACAAATTACTTTTGGAGGACCATGTTATAAATCATTAGTAAAAAGACTCAATCTGGCCGGGTAGTGGTGTCCCACACCTTTAATCCCAGCACTCCAGAGGCAGAGGCAGGTGGATCTTTGTGAGTCTGAGGCAACCCTAGTCTACAGAGTAAGTTCCAGGACAGCCAGGGCTGTTACACTGGGAAACTCTGTCTCGAAAAACAAAACAAACAAACAAAAGACATTGGGGGGGGGGGCTTTTTAAAAGTTAACTATTTCAAAAAGTAGATGCCAAGGAATCCTTCACATGAAAATAGTTCATTCTGTGTCAATTTCGCTCCAATTTATAAAATGTAAACCTAATAAAGTTACTAAATATACCAGATTAAACGAATATTGTTTGTTGCTTTGCCTGCAACGAATCCTGATTTTATGTTTTCTTAATTGTAGAGCAACAACTAAGTACAGTTCATGAGTGCAGATGTAGTGGCAACTGTGGAGCGGATGAGTACAAAAGAATACAATGTAATGCTGCACACCCTCTGGCCTACAACAGCTTATTGCAGCAGTGGCGCGAACAGGACAAGAATCGAGGTTATCACGAGCGATTTTGCTTTTAATGAAATGTGGATACAATTGGCCTTAAGCAAAAGATTGGTGGGAAATGTACAGACAAGCTTTTAACCCGTATAAGGATTCGGGGGATGGATCTGGCTAGATGACTCTCATCAACGACACCACAAAGCCACCCAAACCCTCTAACTTAAGTGTACATATACACTGGTTGAAAATGGGTTGTTTCAACAGCTTTCGTGCGCCGGGAACGCATACCGCAACTATCCCATGTTACTTAGTACCTAAGTAACCTGGCTACTGGCGTTCCTTGTTTTAGCATTAGCTCAAGGAGAGCCCGACTCGCCAGCTTAGCAGATCCTCGGCCTCCGCCCTACCCAGCCCGCCACCGCGTTTGCAGACCGACCCGCAGGAGCCTTCCCCACACCTTGGCGGGCGGGGCGGCTGGGAAACGCAGGCCGAGACTCCCGCAGCAGAGCCCATGGCCACGCGCGCCGCCACCCCCCGCGCGGGTCCCAGCCGGCGGACACCCGCCCGCCCAACCGCCGCCCGGCGCGCAGGCAGCCCAACCGCCGTCCCGGCCCAACCAACGCGGGAGGGGAGGAGAGGAGCGCACGGCCGGCGGGGCATGCGAGCCGCTCGGGGGGCGCGGGGCAGGCTGCGAGCCGGGGAGACGAGGCGGGCGGCGCCGAAGCCCGCGCTGGACGCGGGACCCAGGCGGCTTCCCGGAGGGGCCTCGCCCCTTTTCGCAAAGAAGGTACAGATGGTTTGACCCCCCACCCCGAGCGAGGTGCCTCGTCCCAGCCCCGGCTGGACTGTACCATCGGGCGGTGCCGCCGGGATTGCTCCCCCCACCACTACCATCAGTTCCCCCCCCACCCGGGTCCGCGGTCGGTTGGCCCCGGCCGGGCGCTGAGACGCAGAAAGAGCTGGGCGCCATTTTGGGTGGGACTAAGCAAAGACGAAACACTCTCCCAGGCGATGGGATACTCTGGACCCTGGTTTATCCGGTTCCCTTAATCCTTTAGGTACTTACACGACGTTGGGTGAGGGGAGTTGGAAGATCAGCGGGTCCCGGATCCTCTCTCCCTAGGGGTGATGGAAATCAAACCCCCCCGCCGCCTCCAGGTGGTTCTTCCCGCCGCAGAGTGGGAGCAGCATAAAAGGCGGGGTCTTATTAGCATAATCTGCCTGGCAACCTGATCTCAACGTTGTGTGATTGGCTAAACTCTGAAAGTCCCATTCCGTGCCTAGAGACCTGGAACGCTGGGCCGAACTGACAATCCCAGATTTAAGAGTCATGACGAAAATCCTGGGACGCTAATTCAGTCGGCAGAGAAGGCAAAAGGAGATTCACACAATGGCCCAATGACTGAAGGCCTCTTTATTTCGTGCTCTGCTGTTCATGTAAAACCCAATAGAAGAGCGGGTCTCTGGCGGTGCTCGCCTTCGTTTGTACTCTAGGCCAATCAGAAAGCTCCACTCTTTGCATTCAGGGTCAAGCCCCGTCTGAGAACCCTGGCGGGCAAGTGGAGGGACACTGTCCAGCGTGCCTGAGTGTCTACCGTGGAAAATCCAATGCACACTCGGGTTCCCAGCCCACCTGTCCCCTCACACACACACTCGGATCCTAGGAAGCTCTGGAGGTGTGGGCCGTGCACCTACCTACCCGCCCTAGCGCGGACTTGCAGGAACCACGTGCGCCCGGGGGCTCTGTATGACTGGGACACGCCTTTCCGGGACCACAGAAACCGGTTAAACAGACTGCGCCCCTCCCCACCCTTCCCCAGTCCCCATACCCTGGTCCTAGGAGTGGCCTATCAGCCTTGCAGGCCTCTAGAATGCCTACACTACACCTCTCCTTTCAACACTTTACCGTTCCGGAAAAGTGTTTTTCGGAAGCCATGGGGTGAGGATGTGTCTCGGTTGATAGAGTGCTTTGCCTGGCAGGCACTAACTAAATCCTGTGCTCGATCCCCAACACCTCATACCCTGGGGGCTGGTGCACCCAGGAAGTGGAGACAGCTTGGGCTACTTGAGATTAAGGTGAGGGGATATTAGTCAACACTGAACAACCAAAAATGAATGAACTCTCTTCTTTATTAATTTAGGACATCCACATCCTACTGTCTTTTAAGATTGCCTTCTCAGAGTACAGCCAAGTGCATTTAAAGAGCCCAGGTTTTAGAATGACAAGCTAGAAACTCTGACAACATAAATAGCAACCCAATGTCAGAGACCTTTGCTCTTTGTGTCTGCAGGGAATGGTTTCACTGTCTGTGACCTGTACTTTGCTGTGTTGCTTTGAAGATTAAATGAGATCATACTTTCACATTCTCTTGAAACAGAAGGGTCAGTGATGATAAAGCCTACAGAGAAAGTAGGGTGCCTTGTAGTCCCAGTTCTTGAGTGCAAAGGCAGAATTGTTTGAGGGTAACCTGGCCTACATATTTCCAAGCCAGCCAGCAGTATATAGTGAGATTCAAATTCCAAACAAAAAACCCCTACAAATCTACTGCTTAAGCAAGAAAAAAGGAATCCTGTGAAACAAAAGACTTGAGGATAGAAAACATGCACAGGGAGAGAAATTAAAATCCATTCAAATATATTGCTCACAGTTTTGTTTAAATGACTGAAAACAGTGAAAAGCTGAGGCCAGCGTTCTGTTGTTAAAACACAAAGACATGACAGCCTTGGGAGGCAGGAATTGATAAAGATGTCACGAATTGCTCTCCATAGACCCCTTTAGGAGCAGCACTGGACGTGAAATAAAGGCTATCAGCGACTAAGCCTTACAGCTAAATTGAAAAGAAAGCATGAAAGTAAGGCTGATGAGGACTTCCAATTGTCAAATTCAGCACTATTTTCTCTCCTGGGTCTATTAAGAAGAAGCCATTTGCTTTGGGAATGGTTATAGTGGCTAAAGAAGTCTCTGGGATGGTGGACATCGACAGAGGTAGATGGGCCCTCTATGGCCTTGGAAGACTGCCATGCCCTGTGCCCATAGCCTCTAGAGATCCTTCTGAGATTTAACCATATTATATCTTCTCTGATAGATTAAGAGGTCAGATTATCAGAAATGACACAAAGGACACTTACCAGGAGAAGCGTGACTATCTGTCTAACTGGGACTTAAATAAATCAATGTTCATAACCAGAGTAAGATTACTGTGATATATGAAGATGACAATTTTTATTTCTGCATATTTTTTCTTAATGACTTATTGTCATATTTGTAGATGTCTTCATTACTGTTCTTGTTTGAGTGTGTGTGTCTGTGTTCATGTTAGATACTGTTAGGTCTCAAAAAACACAGACAAATGGCTGAGGTGTTCATTAACATATCAAAGCAGACAGTAGCCACCAGGTTCTCCCTGGCATCCTTCAGTCCCTACCTGATACAGACTATGACTGGCAACCACCACTACCTACCCTAAACTTCTTCAGCCGAGTGGCTGGGCTGCCCATCCCCCAGATGCCCTTCCCTATATAAATAATCCAACCACTTTGGTTACCTATACTTTTTGGTCTGCCCTTTACTCTCTTGGCCACTCTCTTGGCCCAGCCCACCCTCTAGGTCAGCAGCTCCTCTCCCCTTCTCCCTTCCCAACCCCCACTCCTCACTTGACCCAGCCTAGCCACATTCACTCTGGACTCCCACATGTCTCTGCCTCTTCTTATGCACTCCCTTTTATGTACAATAAACTTTCTCCTCCACCATACCTAGGCGCAGTCATGTCCTTTCCTTTTATAGTTCTGTTTTCATTCATTCACGTACCTGTGTTTGTGCCTGTGGAGGCCAGAGACCAGCTTCAGGTCTTAATTCCTGAGGATGACTACCCATCTTGTTTTGTAAGGTACATTTCCTCACTAAAACCTGGTACTTACAGATTAAGTTAGGCTGTCTGGCCAGTGAATCCCAGGATTATTCCTGTCTCTGTCTCCTCAGTGCTGAGGATTTCAAGTGAGCACTACCCGGCCGTGCTTTCTGTGTAGGTTCTGAGGTGTATATGTGCTCCTCATGCTTGAGCGGCACACACTGTATGGACTGTATAATCTCCCCACTTCTAAAACATTTACTTACAGCACTTCAGATTGAACTTGGTGCCTCGTGCCTGCTAGGCAAGGGCCTTACACTTACCCAGATCCCTAGCTGTCTGTTTTATTTTTAATTTTCTGGTAGGATCTCATTAAGTTGCCCAGGCTGGTCTTGAACACACTCTGTAAACTCCTGAGTAGCTAGAATCATAGGCCTGTGCTATCAGGCTTGTTCCAAAATTTTGATGGGTACAAATATTTCAATAATTTGGCATTCTACCAATTTTAAAATTTTTGACTGAAGTCTCAGAACCCTGTTTTCTACGTGTCTTTTCCTTTCTTTCTTTCTTTTTTTTTTTTTATGCACACTAATGAGCTTCCCTTCCCTATGCAGGAAGTATTCGTGGAACATGTACCAAGTGCCGTTCACTGTTCTAAATGATGAAGATAGGGGAGAACAGAAAAGTGCTCTCATTAAGATTCCAATTTAATGGAGTAGAAAGAACAAAATTCCCAAATGATTCCAAGTGATGGTATTACACAGAAAACAATGCAGGAAAATGCAGAGGAAAGGGAATGCTGACTGTTAAAATGCATGTAAAAAAAAAAAAAAAAAAAAATCCTTCCCAGTACTGGACAATGGCTCTGTTTTGTTTTGTTTTGATTTTCCTGAGATAGGGTAACCAGTAGCACCAGCTGTCCTGAAACTTAGTATGTAGACCAGGTGGCCTCCCTCACAGAGATCCTACTGCCTCTGCCTCCCCCAGTGCTGGGAATAAAGGCATGTGCCACTATGCCAATGGCTCTGTTAATAAGAGGGTTTTGTTTGCAAAAACAGGGACCTGAATTTATTTCCAGAACCTACATAAAATCCAGACATGACAGTATATGATCATAATCCCAGCTCTGGAACTAAGATGCAGGGAGATTCCCGGACTCTCTGATGAGCTCCAAACCAATGAGAGACCCTGTCATAAAAGACATAAATGACATTCTTGAAGATAACATCTAAGGTTGTCCTCCAGCTTCCACAAGTGGCACACATATATACTTACACACACCCTTTTAACAAGAAGTCCTCCTAAAAAAGAGTAGGGACTAGACTAAGGCAAAAGAAGATCAACAATGTTAAAATTTGGGGAAATATTCCAGTTTCTGAAAATATCCAAAAAGTTAAAGGAGAAAAAAAAAAAAAAAATCACCAGGCCAGTGAGATGGCTCAGCAGTAAAGATATTTGCCATCACATCAGGTGGAAGGAGAGAATCAAACTCTACAACCTTTATCTTATGACTTCCATGTGCATGCTGTTGCCCATGTGGTATGGTACAACACCCCTTCCACATCATGCAAACACTTTTTTTTTTAACCATAGCATGCCTGTATTCAACTACTCTATCCTTGTAAAGATGTTCATTGAGTGACAGGGAGTCACTGCATCAGAGGCTTTGGAATTCATCAGCTGACCTCTATATAAAATGATAGAGCATAGAAACCCATGGCTTTCTTGAGCTTTCCATCAGTCTGAGAAGGAATGAGGAAAGCCGGATTGCTGGAATACAGGGCAAAGGGCAAAGTCACCAAAAACAACCTGGGGAAGTAGGCAGGGGACATCACACAGGGCTTTGAGGCTATGCTATTGTTAGATGTTTTGAATGCATTTTAAACAAGGAAATGAGCTTTCTCCCCCTCTCCCCCTTAAGATAACTGCTTCAGGATGCTTGTTTATTGGGGGGGGGACAGAGTAAGAAATAAGACAAGGAGTCTCTCCCTGCTCAGCAGGAAATGATTGATGATCTTGACCAAAACTGGAGAATGAAGGGAGGAAGGAGTGGCTAGACTCACAAATGGATTAGTTGTGAGACTGGGTATTGGTTGGTAATGATAAGATGGTGATCAAGATTGACTCACAAAGTTAGACCTGAATGACTAAATGGAGATGAGGAAAGAAATGGCTAGAAAATTCACTGCTCTCTTATATTCATGACAAATTTGAAAGCTTTTGTCCATGCCTCGAAATATGGTGGTGCTCACCAGAACTCCAGAGGTAGAGGCAAGGAGGACTAGGACCTAAAGGGTGGCCTGAGTTACATGAGATCCTAACTCCAAAATAAATAAGTGAAGTCAGGTGTGGTAATACTCACCTTTAATCTCAGCAGGAAGGAAGGCAGAGGGAGATGGATCTCTTCGAGGAGTTCAAGATCAGTCTGATCTACAAATTGAGTGCCAGGACTACTCAGTGAGTCCCTGTGAGAAAGAGAGAGAGGGGGAAGAGAGAGAGTGAGAAAGTAAGATGAATATCTTTTCAAATTAAGAAAACACTGTGGTTATTGGATTCAAGGGAAAGACTGGGTTTAAAAACACAATTTTAGTATTCACAAGACTTTTTATTTTCTTTTACAAATGGTCTCTAATCCAAGCTGTTCTCTAATTCCCTGTATAGCTAAGAATGAGCTTGAGCTTCTAAACCTCCTGCTCATACTTCCCACATACCCCATTTATGCAGCTCTAGGGGCCAAATCCAGGGCCTCCTGCATGACTGGCAAGCACTCTACCAACACAATTGCCTCCCTGGCCCTATCCACCAAATTGCAATTGTGTTTAAACATATATGATT